GCGTCAAACTACCTTGTGGGGCTGTTGCATGAGAGAACACGAAAGGGAGAAGGCTGTCTTGGTTCACTGCTATAAAAAATACCATAGACTGGGTGATTTACAGAGAATGGGGATTTACTTCTCACGGTTCTGGAGGTGTGGGAGCTGGCGAGGGCCTGCTTCCTGCTTCCTGCTTCTTAGACGGTGCCTCAAATGCTGTGTCCTCTGGAGAGGAGGAGCACTGGTTCCTCACATGGCGGAAGGCAGAAGGGAAAAAAAGGACAGCTTCCCTCCATTTTGCCCTTTGATAATGACCTTCTGACCTAAACGTCTCTGGAGCGGCCCTCCCCCCTGCACTGCTACATTCAGGATTAAGATCTCAACAGCTGAATTTGGGGGACACCTCTGGATCTCAACAAGGGCCTGGTCAACTCCGAAATGAAGAGGCTGCATGCAGATGATGGTGTGACTTCAGAGACTTTTTTTTTTTTTTTCCCTTTGAGAGAATCAATAAGGAGGGCAGAGAAGGGAATTAGTGTTTATTGACTCTCTGTTCTGGAGCCTGCGCTGGGCCCAACGCCTCGAATACATCAGAGAGTACAGACTGGTGACCTGGAGGCAAATGTTTTGTTTGGGCTTCACCGTGCTAGAGAAGCATTTCAATTAATCGCCAGCATATTCAAATCTGGGGATTCCACAGCAAAACATGTTTGGGGGGATAATCTTGAAAAACTGGAATATCAGCGACATGGGCTTCTGTTCCCTGTCCTGCCCACAGTTGGAGCTGACAAGCAGGTCCCCTTGTAGGGGGCATCTGCTCTCTGGTTTTCCATGGGCCTCCAGGGAGCCCTTCTGGTGTCGGCCCCTGGCCTGGCCACTGAAGTCCTTTGATAATGTAACCCTGGACGTGCTCAAAGGACCTCCTGACAACCCTGGACAGGTAGTCCCATTTTATAGATGACAACACTGTGGGTCAGAGGTGCTGGGAGCTGCTCCGGGCACACAGTTAGGGGATGACAGAGTGAGGCTCGGCTTTTCCTGACCCCTTGGCTCCCTGTTCCTCCACTGTATGCAGGGGGTGGGGAGTGGGGAGAAGATTAGTAGGGGGCATGGTGTGTGGATAGAGGTGGGGTGGGCAGGGCACAGCATGCAGTCAGACCTGGCCTTGCTCCTGTGAAGGGCCCATAGGCCGACCAGGTGAAGGGCCCCGGCCCTGCTCCAGGGAGCTCAGAGGTCATGGCTGAAGAGGTTTTGGGGATTTGGTGGCTGCTAAGCCCAGGGAGAGCCTGGGTGGCTGGTGTTGAGGGGATGGGTTTGGAGGGAGGAGGGAGGGATGGTGTGGGGGGTGTGCATCCAGGATTGGAGGCCCATGGGATGTGCTGGGGAGGGGAGGGGGAGCCGGGTGCACTGGGAGGCTGGGCACAGGAGGAGGCTCTGGCTGGAGATGAGGACCCAGAGATTAGGCCGCACTGCCGGGCACAGAGAGCGGGGACCCAGAACGGGCTGTCCCAACTGCAGCCTCGTGTTTGATGGAGGCTGGAGGGCTGCCCCCCATTCCCTCTCGCTGACCTTCTGCAAGGTAATGAGGATCCCTCCCCTCCTTGCCCAGCGGGCCCCTCCATAATCGGCTTCCCTGGGGATGTTTGAGCGAAATGGAAGAGCGTGAGGCTGGCGGGGAAGGAGGAGGGAGGACTGGTTATCGCTTCCCCTTGGCTCCAAGTGGATAATTACACGGCTCTTCGAGCCCCAGGACTGGGTTGGGCAGCAACCCATACAGACAACCTCTCAAAATTAATGGGACTCCAAGGGGTTTGGGATGGGGGAGGGCCAAAGCTGAGAGGCTGGGAGATGAACTAGACACAGGCAGAGATGATGTCTGACGGAAAGAGTCAGGGATGCAAGGTCTGAAACAGAGAGGGAGGCAAAGAACAGAGAAATCAAAGTCCAGAGAGGTTCAGTTACCTTCCTGGAGCCACACAACAGTAGAGTTGAGTGTACTGTCACATCCTGGCAGATCTCCTAAGCAGTTTCACATTAGGCACTGATTTGAATTCTCATAACATTCCATTTCACAGAGGAGTCTGGGGGCTTGGAGCGATTAAGTAACTTGCCCAAGGTCAGACTATATTTTGGCCAGAGCTTTTCTGATAGTCAGGACAGGGACTGTTGAAATCCTGTCCCCCCAAAGAGGGCTGACTGTAGATGTAGCAATACCTCCTGGTCTCCCAGGGCAAGAACCAGGGGCCCACCAGGCTCTTGGCAGCCTGGAGCTTGGGAGCCAGTTGGATGGAGATCTGCTCTCAGTGGTCCTGGGAACTTCTTGGTCTCCCCATCCTGGCTGTCCTCTGCCACACTCCCCCAGCAGGCTGCTTGTCCCCTCTGCCCCCTCTGCTTGCAGTGAAGTTTTGGCCTTGTGCCCGCGGCTGCTGATCTAGCTGAGAAGTGACAGATTGGGCCAGCTCCTCCTCTGTGGATCGGCTGCCCCCGGGTGCTGGCTGCTGTGACCAGGGTGGGCAGCACACACTGGCCAGTGTGGCTCAGTGCCGAGAGCCTGGACCTTGCCAAGGAACGGCTCGGGTCTGCATCTCACTCTGCCTGAGTGGCTCCAGGTAGGTCACTTTGCCTCTGGGGCCCTGTGTGCATCACCAGAGGGAACAAGAGGATCCGCGCCGCAGTGCGCACGGACGCCTGCGGAGCGCTGGGCTGTGGACAGCCCTGCTCCCACTGAGCACGGTTATTACCACTATCATAGATCAGGGGGCGTTTTTGGAGAGAGACGGGGCGGGGCAAGGAGTGATGGACAGATCGACTCCACCCAGCCCGCTCCTCACCTGTGCGTGGTTCTGTGGAAGCGCCCACCCTGGGGGTTAGGCGTCATGTGTGTGATCGTGGGTGTGTGTGTGTGTCTGTGACCCTCCCCCTGCTGTGGCTGGGCCCGCCTCAGCAGAACACGTGGGTGTGTGTGTGCAAATGATAGGTTTTTAGGGGAAAAGTAGGGGCCTTTCCAGGATATCCAGGAGTCTTGCAGGAGATATCTCCAGGATATCCAGGAGACTGTTGCTGAACGTGGGCACATCCGCGAGGGGGCGATGGGAAAGGCTGGGGCACCTTCAGGGGCGCTGAGAAGGGTGAGCTGTGAGCCCCCTGTGCCTCCCGGTCTGTGGGATGCCCGTTCTTCCAGCTCTGAATCTCATAGGAGCCTCTTTGGACCTAACTGCTGGGCGCAGTGTGGAGATGGCAGGCAGGAGAAGGCTGAGGAGGCTGGTGAGAGGATGACTCAGGCCTCTAGGCATGAGGTCTGGGCAGACTGAGAGGGAAAGAAAGGCGGGGCGGGGGTGGGGTGGGGTGGAGGGGCTGGATAAGAACAGCAAACACAGGGCTCGCATGGTGCTACACACTGTGCCTGAACTCCCCGCAGCAGCCCAGCGAGAAGCTGTGACGTTGGTCTTCACCAGTTTACACGTGGGGAAACTGAGGCTAACTGAGGCTGAATGACTATTTTTCTGGGCACTTTGGACACACTACTTCTGCACTTTTACTCCAGGGCCTTTGCCCTTGTGCTTCCCTGTCCTCAGAGCTCTGCCCTAGAATTTTCACAAGGCTGATATACTAGTGCTCTCTTGCCACGTAACAAATCACCCCAATTTACAAACACAAATACTTACTATCTCAAAGTTTCTGTGGGCCAGGAATTCAGTAGCAGCTTCAGGGCCACATGATGATTTTCATGGAACCTATATACTTCTGTCTTTTTGGCCCCTTCCTCTTAAGAGAATTAAAAAATTACATTTTATGATTGTTCTGGTATAAAGATTCATATATTAATATTACATATTAAAACATTTTAGACTTAAAAGCTCTTTATGTCTTCTAATTTGAAAAGAAACTATACCATTTTCACCAGCCCTGAAGTGCTGTGGCCCGGGCACGGGGCGTCCAGTGGATGAGCCGGCCCTGAGTGGCCTGGCCTGGTGGCTTTGGCTTGGGGTCTCCCATGCGGGTTGGCACGGGCTGCCGTGGTCTGCAGGGCCACCTCCAGGCTGGCTCCTTCTCATGGAGGTTGGAGGAGGCTTCGGCTCTGAGTCATTGGGTGTCTCCACAGGGAAGCACCTTCGTGTCCTCATGAGGTGGCAGCTACCTTCGTGGAGTGAGTGACATGGGGGTCAGGGGAGAGAGGACTCCATGGTGCCTTTCCACCCTACCGGGTAAGTCCTGCGTATCAACATACCATGCTTCCGCTATGTTCTTTGGACTGAAAGTTGAATCAGTAAGCACCCCTGCACTTAAGGCACTTGGGGGGGGGCAGTTAGATTTTCCGTTTTGAGAGCAGTGGACTTATTTTAAAGAACTTGTGATTTTCTAAAGCCACCACGCCCAGCTTTAGAAAGACCTTGTCAGGTCAGGCAGTTTCGTCCCTCATTGGCACCTTTCTGGTCCCCTCTGACATGGTTCTGTTTATCACTGTCTGGAAATCACCTTGTTCGCTAATCTGGCTGGCTGTCTGCCCCAAGAAGAAGGTAAGCTCGAGAGAGGACCCGTCTGTCCCCAGCGGTGACCCCGGGTCCAGCATACAGCCTGCACCCACTGGGCTCCCAGTAAACACCTGGGGAGTTTTTGCCAGCCTGAGTGGGGTGGGGGCCCGCCCTCACTCCAGGCAGGTGTATTGGGGGGGCAGGGCATGCAGAGGGACTGAGGCTATAAGGGGGTTGTTGTCCTGGGATAGTTCCCTGGGACACAGAGGCTTGGGAAGGAGGTCCTGTAGGGAAGAGGAGGGGTGAATGGGGGACGGACGCAGAGGTGGGAATAGGTAACTGGAAACATATTATGCCAGGCGCATAATAGAAGTGTGTTCAGGACCCTTTAGGCTGGACCTGCCGCTGTCATTGCCCACAGAGGCCCTTGCGGTTGGCCTGACACTTGGTGAGACCTTGCTCATCTGCGGGGCTGTTGGGGAGGTGGGTTGCTTCGCTGGCTCACCGCCTGTGCTTCCCCATCCAGCCTCTGGGTGGCAGCAGAGGCCCGGGCTGACGTGCTGCTGGACTCCTGCAGCCTCCGCCATGAGAGCCCAGAGCTTTCTTGCTCTTGCCACCAGAGCTTGCCCCTGCTGGTGGGGCACCCAGGCCAAAGGTTTGGGGTGCTCCACGCTGTGCTTCTGCTCCTGAGTTCTTCTGCCCACTCTCCTCTGACCTTCCCATCATGCCCTTTCCTCCTCTATGTCTTCCTGGAAGGTGAGAGGGGAAAGGGGGGAGTTGGGGTAAGGACACTTGTCCCCCTTTTAAGAGGCACTTGGTCTCTTTCTCAAGGGCAATAGAAACTACCTGGAATGCACGAAGCAGGGAATTGACGATACGAGATTCGTGGTTTTGGAATGGTCTCTTTGGTGACGGGCAGTGGAATGAGCGCGGGGGAGACTGCAGCCAGGAAGCTGGCGCAGTGGCCCAGGGACAGCAGAGGGGAGGGGCAGCAGCTAGGTGTCGGGGCACACACCAGCGAGGCCCCATGGAGGACAGGTGCCATCCTGGGGAGCATCTGGGCAAGCAGGGGGCTGGTGTCAGCCCTAGAACAAGCCATGGTGGCTGAGGACTCAGGACACAGGGCCCAGGCCGAATGGTCTTTGGTTGCTGGGGTGGCAGCAGGCCAGAGAGGAGGGACCAGTCCTAGACGGACAGGCCTGACAGGAAGGGTGTCAAGGGCCAGGGACCCTTCATGGACCACAGGAGAGGTGATAGCCTTGGACCCAGGTGGCATCTGTGACAGACCTGGGCTGCCAGATGGGCCCTAGATACCTACAAGCTGTTTCCCCATGCCCAGGTGCCCCACAGGTGCTGCCACCAGGCATCACGGGAACCTGCGTGGAAACCCCAGAGGACTGGTTTGGGCTTGGCCTGACCAGAGTTCTATGCTTGGCTACCATGGGCTGATCCAGAGCCTGTGAGCCTTTGCATCTGCTGCCTGCCAGTGCCCGCCCCACCCGGCTCCAGGTCCTCCTCCTAGTGTCAGCCTGGAAGCTGGCTGTGTGATCACAGGTGGCCCCGTGCCCAGAGACTGCAGTTGGGCTGGGTCTAGCAGATCGCTGGCTGCTTCCCAGGGCTCAGAAGAGGGCCTGCTCCTGCTTCTGGCCTCCAGCTCTTGCTGCAGACGATAGGTTCACGATAGGTTCACGGCTGGGCCTCCAGAAGGTCTGTGCGCCTCTCCTTCCTGTGGCTGGGTCTGAAGCATCTCCTGCTGCTCGTCTTTACCTGGCCAACCCCTCCTCATGTCTCCCTCTAAATGTCACTTCCTTGGAAACAGTTTTAATACCCCCATTATTCTTGCTCAACATGCCCTTTGCTTTCCTGTTGTGCATTTCCTGCCTCTTGTTGTTACACCTTTACTGTGTGTGTGCGCGACTGTGTGTCTTTTAATCCCTCGATCCCCTGATTAGATTGGAAGCTCCCTGGAGGTAGGAAGCATGTCTGTTTTCCTCATCATTCCTAGACTCTAGCCCCATGCCCGGGGCACTGGAGGCAATCCAAAAATATCTGTTGAATGAGAGAAGGAAAGGAAGGAAAAGAAGAAAGAATTACAGACACCCCAGGAACATGCTAGGTGTTGGGATGCGTAAAGCCACGGAGGAAACCCGGCGTCTCTCGGGATCATCAATTGTTCGTGATAGTGAGGAATTAGAAAGGTTATAGTCACTTATTAATTGAATATTTTACATTACAAAAGTAATACATGTTCCTTGTCAAAATTCAATCAATAGGCATTATTTTTATATTGAAACAAACCTCCACACATCTTGGGTAGAATGTCAAGTTATCCCGAGGTTAAAGAGAACACACAAGACCTCAAAGCCTGTACGCTCAGGCTCCTGCAGGGGCCAGGCTGCTCCTGTGGGCGAGGCGCTTCCATGAGAGGGTTTGGAAAACTCTTGCCCACCCATGGCTCTGTTTTTGGTGTTGTGGCTGCAAAACCAGGGCACTGGCTGGATTTGGAGAGAAAGCAAGTTCCAGCTTGTCATATGTGACCAGAAGACTGTTGGCTGGACTTTGGGCAGGGTCCAGGGGAGACCCATGCTTTCATGGAGGAGTGTGAGGGAATATCAGGAATCTTTCTGGGGGGATGGGAGAGCTTCCTCCCCAGGGGAGGGTGCAGTAACAGGCCAGCCATTTCAGAGGGGGCGGAGCTGGCTGCCCAGGACCAGGGTTTCAGAGCTGCACAGAGGAAACAGGGTAGGGGGTGCCTTTAGGTTGGGGGTGGGTGTGCAAGACACAGCCATTCTGGAAGACCCTGGAGAATGGTAGTGTCAGGTGCAAAACGCACACGGAGCCAAATGAGAAGGGTGGACCTGTGGCCTCACAGATCTAGGTTCAAATCCTGACTTTGCTGTTTGAAGTTATGTGACATTGGTGAAATCCTTTCCCTCTCTGAGTGCCAGTTTCTCCATCTGCAAAAGGTGCATCCTGATCACCATCTGTAAAGAGGTTGTCAAGGTTACGTTAGGATTTTGCTCTCTGCTCATCAGAATCCCTAGGGTAGTGTTCGAAATATCCTGAGGAATCAGGGTCCCTGAGAGTGCATCTCCCTTGCATCCAGGATGGCTTTCCAGTGACCCAGGAGATTCTTGGTGCAGTGGAGGGACAGGCCCCGTGATTGGTAATACATCTGCAGCCTGGTGAAGGACTCCAGCTGAGGAACAGTGTGTGTCCCTGCTAATCCACCACAGCCTCCCCCAGCCTCCTTGGTGCCCATGCTGCCTCAGTGCTTCTCACTGGACTCCTCTCCTAGCCTCCCTGCTCTTGGTATGGGTCCCAGCAGTCAGGGTGAAGTGTGCCCAGGGTGATACAGCTGCTTTAGGTCCAGTGGCCTTAGGTGTGACCCACAGGGAGAATGACAGGGATGAAGTCACACCAGAGCCAAGGCAGATCCAGAAAGAGAGACTAAACTAGTGCTTGAACTTGAACTTGATCAGAAGCCCCCAGGGAGAGGGTTTGTTGAAATACAGATCGTGGGCTCCCCAGCCCTGGATGGAGTTTCTGACGCGGGTCTGGGGTGGTGCTGAGAATGTCCATTTGTACCGAATGCCCAGGCCATGCTACCGGCCCCTGGGGTTTACACTCAGAATCACTGGCTGAGAGAGAGGCCCAGGAAGAAGGCGGGCAGCAGGCAGGCAGGACCCGAGACAGAAACCCAGATCTGTACCACCTCCATTCACACACGCCCAGGGCCAGGGAGAGAGAGGGAGAGAGAAACAGGCCCAGAAAGAAGATGGCAGGCAAACCCAGAGACATGCCATGAGTCAGGCACAGAGGAGGCAGAGAGCCCAGCTGGGGGGGGGCAGGGACCCCAATTACACATCCAGGGAGGAGTCCACTGAAGGCCAGAGACAGTGACACCGCCCAGGTCCCTCAGGCAAGAGGGAGATGACTGACCGAGGAAGCCACCAGAAACACAGAGAAAGAGACAGACGGAGTGGACAGAGAGGCAGGTGGAAATCCAGAGGGAGCAACCAGGAGCCGGTGTGAGGACAGACAGCTCTCCCAGGTGTTCACGCCTGCTCAGCTCTTAGGTAATTCAGGAAGTCTGCCAGCCCTAGAGGATTTGAAATTGGCCCAGAGCGAGTCCTCAGCCCATGTCAAGACCCTGGGAGGTGGTGGTGTGGGACTAGGTTTGCAAGCAATGGCTCATCTTTTCTGGATTTGGCCCAGATGTGACTTTGTTCTTCTGCTCAAAGGTCAGGTCCTGTCACCTCCTCCAGAAAGGTTTCCAGGACTGTTTTACCCATGGGGCCTGGGAATTCTGAGGCTCCAGCTTCTTGGACTTTCTGTGGGTTTCTCAGGGCTTGGCTCTTTGTTTCTGATGTGATTCTGGGTTAATTATGACCCCCTTCTGACCCTCAGTGTCCCCCTAAGGGTAATAATAAGGGTGGGGATGGGTAAAATGGCATCTCAGCCCTCTTCCATCTCAAATCATTTGTTCTACTCTCTCTCTCTCCTTTTGGATGATAATCCCCTGTCCATGAAACTTTCTTGAGTGGAGCCTCTCAATATATATTTATAAAATACACACACGGTCAGACATACAGAAATAGAAATCAAAAAGGACGAGGTAGAAATACAAATAGAAGTTATAACGTATACACACCCTCCTTTGCTGGGAGACCTCTGTCCCAGTTGGTAAGTGCCCTGAACTGTCTCCTGCTTCCTGTATCCCTAACCAGACTTGTTTGACCCTGGGCAACTGCTCTTGGATGATTCCCTAACAACAGCGATAGAATCAGTGCTTGTTATGAACTGGGCCTCGGGCCAAGTGCTTATGTGAATTATCTTTCTCTCTCTCTCTCTCTTTTATTGTACTGAGAATTCAATCCAGGGGTGCTTTACCACGGAGCTAAGTCTCCAGCCCCACTTTTTATTTTTTTATTTTGAGACAGGGCCTTGTTAAGGTGCTGAGGCTGGCCTTGAATTTTCCATCCTCTTGCCTCAGCTTCCCAAGTTGCTTGGATCACAGGTGTGTGCCACCTCACCCAGCTATGGATGAACTCTTTTAATCCCCTTAACCAGCCTCTGGGGTGGGAACCACACTATCACCTCTACTTTCCAGTTAGGGAGACTGAGGCCCAGAGATGGTGGATAACTTGCCCATTATTACACAGCCCAGAGATGGTGTGGGTAGGATTGAAACTCTGGCCAACCACCAAACTCTAGCCATTTGTTAGAGGGGGAGGAGGGAGTTTCTGCCTCTGAGGCATGCCCGGAACCGAGAGCCCCTGGAAGGTCAAGGTCATGCCCTCTGTGTGCCTTAGAACTATAAATCTGCTCAGGAAACGTCCGGGGCCTGGGCCAGGAGTCAAAGCCCAATTATCTCATTTACTCCTTCCACGATGCTATCAGATGAGGATTACTAGCCTCAAAAAACAAACCAAGGAAGCGGTGCCCTCCCCTGAGACCTGGCTGGACCAGTCTCCCGCCACCCTGGGCTGCGCAGGAAGCTGAAATTTACCCATCAACACATTAAGAGATGCATCAAGTTGCCCTAGAAACTAGATTCTAGTTAAGTGCCTGAAAAGTAATTATAAACTCCAGAATATCTTTCAGCCGAGCAGGTGGCTGGAAAATTAGAAATCTATTTCTGAGACACCTTCTGCTTTCCAGAAAGGCCGAGGTGGCGTCGCAGGCACGGCGAGCTGGGTGGCCTCCGTGGAGCGTGTGCGCATGTCCGTGCGCTCGCGTGCTCCTGGGTGCTGACCGGGTGCGGCGGCAGCCAGGGGCCACAGGGAGGGGACACGCCAGGCTGAGGGTGTAGCTGTCGCGTCTGCCCTTCCCTGGCACTCCGTGCAGCGCGGAGGCGGCAAGTCGCCTCCTCTCCAGTGTCACCCCCCCCATCCCCCCCCAGAGTCGGGTTGCTAGGACACGGGAGCCAAGGAGATGCCAGTTGATTTACCAAACAATTTTTCTTCCAATTAGGAATAATTAGACAAAGGGAGAAAGTGTGCACTTCCATGGTGGCAGAGACGGGCTGGGAGCTCGGAGACCCCGTGCCGTCGTTGGAGCTTCTCCGCTGGGACTCTGGGGATGTGGGTCCCCCTGGAAGGAGCCCCATTCTGGCACCATGGCACCCAGCTGGGGGAGGGAGGAGGAAGAGAGCTCACATTTGTCAAGTGTCTGCCACATGTCGGGCATCCTGTCTGCTGCTTTGTCGGCACAGTCCTCTTTGGTGCTGCCACAAGCCAGGAAGAGAGACCAGCAATCTAGGGTGGTTCCCTGCACCGCACACAGCGCCCCTGGGCGGCCCTGGACTCCCCTGCGTGTCCAAACGCCTTCCATCTGCCTGGAGTGCTCTCCTCCTCCCCGGGGTATGGCTGGCTCCTTCTCAGGGGTCAGGTGACTCCTCCAGCTTCATCCAAAATATGTCCCCTTCAAAATAGGTGTGCACCCCTGCTCTCCCCGTCAGCCCTTGTGCTTTCTCCCAGGGGGCTCCTTATGGCTCATCTCACTTTGCTTATTTCTGTGTTTTCTCCTCTGTCTTCCTTGCTAGAATGTCAGATTCCTGGGGACTGGGGACAGTGTGTGTCTCACTGGTGGCACTCTTCCTAGGACATGAAGTCTCTCAGTGCATATTTGTCGAGTGAATGAATGAATGGGCCCTCTGTTTCATCAAGAGGAAGCTGAAGCCCAGGGAGTCTCAGGTTCTTCCCTGAGGTCTGTGGCTGAGCCATTAGGGCCAGACCTTGGCTCCCAGTTGATGTCCCTCCCAGGCTGGCTTTCTTCCCCGGAGACATGGTGCTGTCTCTGGCCAGCGGCAGCCTTGGGCTCAGAGAGGCCTGCGTAATAGGGAAGGCCACGGGGTCTTCTGCTATCCTCAGGTATCCGAGGGATGGCCATGTAGGCTAGCAGAGCCGGGAGTCCCCCAGCTGGGCTTACATTCCAGGTGGGCCAGTTACTAACTAGCTTTGTGACTCTGGCTGGGCCTCATTGTTCTCATCTGTAATTTGGGGATGACAGGAGTGCCTATTTCATAAGGTTTTTTTGTGAGGATATAAGGAGCTGATACACACGGACTGTTTAAAATGGTGCCCTGCATGTGGGCACCACATTCAATATAAATTATAGAGGAAGCGGGTGTGACAAACTGCTTTGATCCTTCCCACTTGCGCCTGTGACACATCAGAGGCCAGAGTCTGCAGCCCTTTGAGTGCCTGGTATAAATTATTCATCCTGGCATCCGAGGAATCAAACTCTTGGCAGCTCCAGTGTTTGGAAGCTCTAGGAGTTTAGCAGATACGAAAGAGCCTGATTCAGTGCCTGGCCCTTAGTAGGTGTTCCGTGAAATGAGAGCCACTCCTGGGACAGCCAGACTGAATATCGAATTGACTATTGAAACTCTCCACGTGGGGGTGCCATAAGCTCCTCAAATGCAGCAATAAAAATCGCTGTGGAGTGGTATTATGTGCCAGGCACTAAATTATTTATAGATCAATATCGTTCTGCCTTTAGCTATAAGCTCCACGGAGGTAGAGTCGTTTGTTGTCTTTTTCAAGCACATAGTTGGCATTCAATGTACATTTGTTGAATGAATTAATGACCTTATTTAATCTTCCCCACTAACTGTATAAGATAAATATTATTATCCTCATTTTATGAAAACTAAAGGTGAGAAAGGACAAGTTTCTTGCTCAAGGTCACTAGTTAGCAACCGCAGAGTCGATGCCAAGGCCCCTGCTTTTAACAACTTCTTTCCTTTGGTTCCCAAACTCTGCTAGTCTAGAATGGGCCCACCATCTTCTCTTCCCCCTCTCCCTTTCATTACTGTTCCCCCCAAATTGAAAAAATGAGCAACAGAAATCAGACCTTGGGCCTTCTCTTGGCTCCCGTGTCCATCAACGGTCTCGTGGTAATAACCTGTCCCTGCATTTCCCTCTCTCCACACAGTGTCAAGAGCTGTATTTTAAAAGCTGCTATCAGATTATGTCCCTTCCTTGCTCCAGTGGCTTCCCATTACCCTAGAGTAATACCTAAACCCATTAGCATGGCCTACAGGCCCTGCGAGATCCGGAGGCTGCCCTCCTCCCTGGCCCCATCTTCGCTGTCTCCTCTTAGCTCCTTTCTTTCTCTTAGGCAGCCACACTTCTCTCCTCAAGCCCATCAATGTCATTTCCACTTCAGGGCTTTTGCAACTGCAGTGCCTCTGGGTATATATGACGGAAGAAAGATGACCACTGATTATGTGTCCCTCTCCCCACACAGAGAGAGTGTCTACTCATCCACTCCCTTCAATCTGAGCTTTGATTGTACTATGGACCAATCAAATGGGGTAGAAATGATGCCGTGGATTGATTGGCAGTTCTGCTTCCTTCCTGTTGGAGCTCAAGTTACCATACTCTGAGGAAGCTCAAGCAGCCTCATGGAGGTCCATGTGGAGGTGAGTTGACCTTCCTAACTGACAGATGAGCTTGCAGTTGGCAGGGAGACCAACTAATGGATGGTGTGAGTGGGTACTATCCTACCCTAGTTTAACTATCCCAGCTGATGCCGCATGATGCACAGGTGAAGTGTTCTCAGTGAACTCTGCCCGAACTGTAACATTGGGAGCAAATAATGGCTATTGTAAGCTGTTGAGTTTTGGGGTGGCTTGTTACGCAGCAACATTTCAACCATACAGTCCAAGATACACTTCTCTCCGATCTTTGCCTGGCTAACTCTTCATTTCTTGGCTACCTCCTCAAGAAGATTTTTTCCCCCATCTAATCACAGGGGCCCCCTTCCTACTGCTATAGCTTTTTCCCATGTCACCTCTCTTATTCTTTTCATGTCATTTTAGCTATTTGAAATTGTCCCATCTGTTTAACTCATTTATTTACCGTCTCCTTCCACCAGAATGAGAGCTCGGGGAGCGGGCTTTGCTGCTTCTCTGGGCCCTGGGCAGTACCTGCTCACAGTAGGCCTCCAGGAAGTATCTGTTGTTGAATCGATGGCCCTCATTGCCTATTATGGACCCTTCATTAGTTTCTCATTGGTGTTGCAACCAGTTCCCACAACAAATGTGGTTCAATGCAATAACCAGTGTGTTGTCTTACCTTTCTGCATGTCAGACGTCTGAAATGAGTCAGCAGGCTGTGTTCCTTCCTGACGCTCCAGGAAAGAATCTGTTTCCTTACCTTTTCTAGCTTCTAGAATCTTCCCGCATTCCTTGGATTGTGGTCCAGCATCACTTGGGCCTCTATTTCTGTGCTCTACTCTGGGCATCCTGCCTCCCTCTTACTGGGACGGTTGTGATGACATTGGAGCCCCAGGTGATCCAGGATAACCTTTGCATCTCAAGATCCTTCACTTAATCACATCTGCAGATCTCTTTTGCCTTAGAAGTAAACATTCATAAGTTCTGGGATTAAAATGTGGATATCTTTGTGTGTGTGTGGGGTGTCTGTTATTCTACCTGTTGTAGACTGCAGGCCAACTGTCTGTCTGTCTGTCTGTCTCTCTTCTCTTCTTCCTTCCATCCCGTGCCCTTGCACCCTTGGCTCCCAGGTCTCAAAACCTCCCGGGTCTGCCTCACTGGACCATGGGTTCTCTTCCCTCCTGTCTCTTCACCCTGAAATCGGGGAGGGATAGGGGACTCTAAGACTTAAAAAAAAAAATCATAATCTGGTGTTCTGGCACACGGCATTGTGGTTAAGTGCTGAAAGGCAGGCAGTTTTTGTTAGCTGATCAGTGTTATTTCAGTATTTAAATCAGGGATGTCTGCAGTCCACCCAGGAGTTACACGCTGCATTAAGATTTCCAATTGAACAAAGGTGCACTCGATTAGAAAGAGTTCTGAGGGCCTCCTGGTCCTGAGCGAGACCCTCCGAGGCCTGTCATGCGGTTTTAATTCCCACACCCTGAGTCGTAACGAGGACCAGTGGCTGAGTGTTACCCCCATCCGGGTCACTTTATATTTCCTTGAGAGTCCTTTTGTGTCTTTGATGGAATCTGTCTCAAATTGGAAGGGGGGAGTGGGTGGAAATGGGGGAGGACTTACAGAAAATAGGAAGAAGTTTTGGTAGGTGGACTTAGAAGAGGGGAGGGAGGTTTGGGGAGATTCCCAGACCCAGTTCTCAGCGCTTCTCCAATTTCTTCACCAATTTATTACACAAATGAACATGTGCCAGGTACCGTCCTGAGCACTGCATAACTATAAGCACATTTAAGCCTCAGAACAACCCATTGGAGTAGGTGCTCTCATTATCCCTGCTTCGCACATGTGAGCACAGAGAGGATAAGCAACTCATTCAAGGTCACACAGCTAGTGAGAAGCAGAGCTGGGATTGGACCCAGATCCCATGAATTTTCCACTGCGCCATGCTGCATTTTCCTTGATGGCTGGATTCCCTCCGCTCCCTGCTCCTCTTTCTCCACAGCCAGTTGCCTCCTTTTGGGGTCTGCTCCTTCCTTTCTGATAATATATTTGGGTCAGGACCTTCTTCCCTCTCATCCTACCTGCAGACACTCTAGCCAGAATGAAGTGGCACCCCCTTTCTCCACAGAAAAGACTTACCTGCGTTTCTCCAGAAATCTTCACCATGGCTCATTTTAGGACTGTCAGCAAAAGAGTCTCTGCAAAAGAGTTCCATGTAGATAAACTTCCTATTTTTGTGTCGCCCTGTTTTACTTGGCCACTGGCTGAGACGATACCCGCAGTCCAGGTGCTGGACACCCCCTTACTTGTTTTTCACAAACATATCCAGTATAGTAGTTTGTAGAAATGTGCAAACAAGGCCTCTGGCCTTGAGCTGGGCTTCACAGAGATGATTACATTTTTTAAGATAAGGTACCAACTGGGCTCCATGGTAACAGCTGGCAGGGGGAGGAAAGAAAGGGGAGAAGAAGCTCTCCCCTCCTCAGGTGTTGTCCTTGAAGGGTTAACTTGCCCAAAACAGTGAAAGAAAAAGCTGCTGTAAGGTGAACTTCTGCAGACTGTGAACTCCTGAGCCCCTCCCCTTACATGCTGGGTATAAAACTCTGAAACTCCCTGAACTCGGGGTTCAGGGGATTGATTGATTACAGCAAAAGCTGTGCCCTCTGAACCTGGCTGCAGCCCAATAAAACTGTTTCCTGCTGTCTTCCGTGCCTTGCCTCGTCTGTCCTTGCTACAAGAAGAATGGAGGAAGCTCACCATACGTGCTGGCCATGTGCGGGTTCTGTGCTGATCATGGCTTGCTTTTAACAAAATATTAGCATTTTAATATCAACGAAATTAATTACCAAAATGCAACCATTAATTATTTTGCTTAAGAACTGCAGTCACTGGATCAGAAACAGAGCCCAGCTAGTGATTAGGCTATGTGGACAGTGACCCGGGGCTCCCATCTATAAGGACTTTCGGACACCTTTGGAATAAATTTAGAACAAACCGAGGTTTCCATACAATACTGTGTATAGCGTGTAGAATGTCAATGAGTCTCACTTCTGCTAGGGACGTGACATCCTCGGAGGGAACACTGCACAACAACTTGGACATATATTATTTTACATATTATATTTCACTCTGAAAAGCAGGTCTGTGAAGTATTCATTGTCACGCACATTTTACAGATGAGGAAATTGAGACCCGAGGACACTCGGCAGTCTCTTCAAAGTCACATCTAGTAGGAGGCGGAACGGGTGTGAGGACCTGAGATTACCTGTGTCCAGGATTTGCATTCTCAATGGGAGCTGCTTTGTTGCCTCCAAAGAGATGGATGGAGCTGGGTGCAGTGAGGCATAGCTGTAATCCCAGTGGCTTGGGAGGCTGAGGCAGGAGGATGGCAAGTTTGAGGACAGCCTCTGCAACTTAGCAAGACCCTGTGTCAAAATAAAAATAAAAAATTAAGAAAGGGGCTGGGGAATGTGGCTTAGTGGTTAA